TGTACATATTATTACTGAACCAGTGAGCAAGTGGAATGTTTATTGTTTTCATTTTCGTTTTCTAAGTCTATATTATTACTGAAAAACAAACTCATTGTAATTTTTAGACCGTCAATGTACATTCTAGTGCAACTCAGCTTTAGCTATGTTACATTATTTTCAAGAAATGGTTTCTTTATATTATATACATAATTTACTATAGTATTTATTGTTGTATTAGGTTTAATATTTTTTTGCAGAACGAAAACACGAATTTTCATAAAATGTGACCATGTGATCCTTTATTTTATTTTATCGTTCTATGCTAACATTAAACTTTTGTTTAGTAATATACCCTAATAGCAGTACCTAAGTGTTGTTTTTTATGCATAATTTTAGTTATCAAATCATTTACATAATTAAACACAATTTACTAATTTACCAGCATCCAAATTTACTTTCTACTTGGTACATATTTCAAAATCTTTAATCGAAAATTACACATTCAATATTCGTTTGCCATTTAAAAATTTGAAAGCTTATTGAAACGAGGACAACATATTAATTATTATCATACTTTATTGAAGCAAACTAGATTTCAGACTGTAGCAAATCAATTAGGTACTACTTATTAAATTATTGGTACATAATATTTTTTTTTTTTTTTGCAAAACCTTTAAGAATTTCTAGAGTTACTTTAAAATGGATTTATTTAAGTACATAGTCTTATAAATTTTACCAATAAGTAAACAATTTTGGAACCAATTCAAGTTTGTAGATATAATATAGTTTTTGTTTTAAGAAAAGCATTATACGTTACAAAAAAAGTATTTGTTGATGTACAAATATAATATTTGTGTAATATACCTACTTATAATATATTAAACCGAAAACTTTTTTTACAAAAAGTTATATCTATATTTCAAAATGGTAAAAGTGGGTATTCGGTTTTTGGATTGGGGCGGGTGAAAAACGTATCAAACCACATTGATGCAAACAACAAATATATTTTGTATTATATTCGCGGCACACCTCTATGATAATAAAATCCATATTGATTACTTTATCGTAACACAAAATTTAAATATCGCGGAGTTCAACAATATCGCAGAATATTTTATTAGGAGTATGTATTTTACTGATGTGAGTAGCTTTCGACAAAATGTTGACTGTGTTCATTTTTTGATCGACTTGAAAACATGACATTAAAAACGACCGCGTTAATTTGTTATCGTTAATGTGCACAGATTAAGTTGAATTGGACGTTACAAGTAGAGACCTACCTATATGTATCTAAATGCATTTTTAATTCGCATTAGGAAAATGCGCATTAGTACGATTGCAACGAGTCAACTCTAATGTAGGTGCATTGTGCATTAGCGATTGCATATAATAGGTATATTACACATATCACATATTTTATTTCACTCTATGGTATAATATAAACATATCTTACGGAATCGTTTTCAAATGGGACCATTGATTTGGTAAAATGAACGCGTAATAATAATTTCCCGACACACGATGACTGTTTATCGCTTGTGTTACAAATCATTAAAACTGACAAATTAACTAAAGTGGATCTCTTGTACGCAGTGATCCATAGTGGCGGGGGCGGGGGGATGTATACGACTTGGGTATACTCCCTTCTCTCTATAAGATAGTTTTGGCGTATACTCAAACGTTTATGACGGATACGTGGGTTTTAGGTTGTCTATATGATGGCGGATACTGTATGGTCATTCGAATTTTCGGTGACGAAAGCAAAATATTTTATAAATATTTGCGATTTTAGATTCTCAAATGGCACTTATTGAAATTTAAAGATATCAGGTAATTATCAACAAATATGATTAGAACTAATGGCCAAACCAAATTTGAGTATCTATAACCTCGGTAGTTAATATAACTAAAAAATTTTAACCACTTAAAAAATGTCTACCGTATTATTATTTTAAGAAAAAATGAACTCCGTGCGAAGAGAAAAACAATTTTTTTTGTCTTTATAATAAAGTTTCTGTCATTTTCACCTACGTGGGAAACACCCACGAATTTTTTTAGTGGTAGGCACATCATTGTTTAAACGACGTATATATTTAGGAAACAGGTAATATCGCAATATTGGATACCAAATTTATAAGAAGCTTAATTGATTGATTCAATTTATTTATTTCCACTCTTCGTAAATGTATTTATTCGTTGTAAAATACAATGGGCAAATTTTATTTTATCACTTTATAAAGGTAGTTTCATAATAGGTGTATTAGTATACTAAAATGTGTCTCTATTACGACATAGTTCCATAGGATATAGGTTACAACCATTGATTAAACATACAGTCAATGGTAATACCAATGATAATTAATAAACTCATTCTTCTCGTCAGAAATGTTCGCAAAACATAACATGTTAAATTTGTTTTCATTCTTTTGTTTCTATAAACAAAATGTTTATAAACCAAGAAGATAGATGCCATATGCTATCTTTATATATTTAATATTCTATACATTGTAGGTGTTCACAACATTCACACTCTAAGAATAAATATAATGCCGATTTCTAAATAGGTAAATTATTTCTTGAAATATATATTATACGAACAAAAAATGTATTAATATATGGTTTTCATGTCATTCTCAATGATTGTTTGATTTTAAATACAAAATAGTTTTTTTTCGTGGACCTGTACAACTATAAATGTTTATTGTATGTAGCTAATAAGTGGATGAACTGTTGTAGTTGAAGCTCAAGTAGCATAAATACAAATCATTTAAAATAGGAAATTTACAAAAACTATATTATCAATGTGCCAGAAGGAATATTAAAAGTTTTTAACTCCGTCCTTTTTTTTTAAATTTAAATATATTTTCAGTCGTCTAACCAGTTATAGTTATAATCATTTTTACTATTCTTGCAATACTGTCCATAGCAATTGGCAATGGACAGTATTATATTTATAAATATTAATTATTTATTAGGTCTTTAGGTCAAAACATTTTTTTTAATTACAAATGGCCATTATACATATTTTAAATAATGAGTCTTCCATTAAAATTTAAAAGTACATTGTTATTCTCTTTGCCTTTGATAACTCAACCATTAATGTTTGCAACAAAGAAATATCAAATTGTTTTGAAGCGTAGACGAATTAATAATTTACATTGAATTTTAATCATAAATAATAATAAATTACTAACACCATTAAGATTTTGTTTCAATTTTGGTTCAGTTTTAATTATTTTGTAGAACATTTATTGATAAACCCTTGTTTAGGAATATCAATTTGAGTTTCACATTATAGTGTAATTTTTACATTTTTACTGTTTTACTTTTTTATCGTTAATTACAAAAGAAAAAATGTTCAAAGTAATTTTTCCCTATAGCTTATCGTACGTATAAAAATGATGTATCTAATCACCTATTAATATAATAATATCAGTATTATTTGTTGAAAAGTTAATAATTCAATTATACTCAATGTATTGACCATACAGTACCAAATTTTTTTTCCAAATGTCCAATTAATTTGAATGAGATGGCTTTTGTCTCCCACGCGTCAACTTGTTCAGAAGATTGTGAAGGCTCATTTTAATTATTCATCGTTGATCTTTTCTACTTTCTTGAACTGTTTGGAAGAAGTAAGAACTACCGATCACTATCATCACTACTTCAAACATTCATAATATCCTTACCAATTATCTTCTTTTATGTAGTGTATTTATTTATTTTTAATTGAATGTTAAAAGATGTGCCATTGTAGCATAAAATATAATTAAACGCTGTAAATATTGTATAATCATTTTGTACTTTAAAAATTGATATTTTTAATTTATTAATTTATTAACTTATTCGTCCAATAATATTCATAGTTCATATTTCCTATACCGTAGTGTGCAAATAATTGATCGATATAAACTTATATTATAGCTAATATACTATTATATGTCATAATATATAATTCAAACAATAAATTGTATAGAGTAAAGAGTATGGATTACCTACATATATGGCTTTATTATATGATTATTACTACATGCAGCTTCACACAAGCTTTATTTTTTTGTTTCCCCAGCATATTTTGTTGACAGACATGTAGAATATTATAGTAGGTACCCGAGCTGCCCATATATACCATTTCTTTACCATTTTTACCTACCGAGCTGCCCATGTATACAATTTCTTTACCATTTTTTGCTAAATCTAACGTCGTTTAAAATGTCATACTTTAAATATAATTATACTAATTATCGTTTTCGACGTTGAAAACTACTGCCTGTTACTTTTCCGTCACCAGTGGATCTCATATTTTAATAATGGAACTTAATATATAAAGCAAAAAAAAAAAATTTATCACACAACTTGCATTATAATTTTGAGATTTTATTATACATTCGTGAATGTTTAATAAGTTGTAAATAATTACAAACGATACCTTATCCACTCCCATAAATTAATGTTTCTAGTCCACTGTAATCTTTTTTTTTTCATTTCATAACGTGCATGTCGTTGCTGCTTAAGAGGACGTGATACCCAATGTGAAACGCATAGAACGGCTAAGAGAATGCGCTGTTAAGTGTTTTCGCGATGCGCAAGCACGCGGCGGTTAAGCCACGCCCACTACACATCGTAGTCGGCGGCCGACCGACGGGCGAAGAGTCTCGTTCAGGAGCGCTCTTCATTATCGTATGAACGAATTATTAAAATGATGAATACATTGGCGTCTGTGGTTGGGGGAGCCCATACCCCTGGACCACCCATTCAAAATCATTTTTCGTAAAGGAGAATAACATTTATTTTTTATTTTTTTATTCAACGGGTAAACCCAGGATATAATCGTTCAAACAGACAAATATTGAAATTTCTAATATATTATAATACTTACTTTATTTGTTTNCTTAAAATAAAATAAAATTTTAATATTATATTTTATGGAATATTTATACCTATTATATGGACTATTTCACAACAGTCAATTACTGTTAGCCGTTAGGTATTGATATAGTTTATACTTATTTTTTTAGGTGCTGTTGAAAACCAAATACGTTGATGTCAAACATTCAATGTGGTCTTATGATGTGTCCTTATGAACGGAGAATACGCTCAGCCACAGCACATTTCAGATTCCATCTACCTAGGTGCTGCCATCGTACTGAGTATTATCGGAATAGTTGGATTTCTCTTCAACACCTGCGTCATTTTCATTATGATTAGGGATCCGCGGGTAATTAATGCAATTAGTCTAATCAAAAAGCACCCGATCAAAATGCACCATTATATTGAAGTATATTATAATGATGTATTTGATATATTTTATGCACTAATAATATACTTAGAACATTGGGAAAACATGAGTTGGGTCCCGAGATATTTGATCGCTTATAATAAACATGAGTTGTGTCCACGGTATTACTTAATAATACTCGAATTGGGTCCATGATAATATTTAATAATACTCGATTTTGGTCCAGGAACATATATTGAGCAAGATGCATAATTTCTTCCAAATATTTGGGCTGAATTTTCAACGACCACAAATCGCACCACAAATAGCTGCGATGGTTTTCATGCAAAATTAAATGCTAGTTTCTGTGCAGCACACTCCAACATTTTTGTTTTAATAGAAATTTTCCTTGGAATTCAGGGTAAAATTTACAATTCACTTTGGAGTTGTGTTTTAAATTTCTTCCCTAGTTTAAACTATTAACGATTAGAAGAAAAAAAAAATTAAAAGCTAATTTTAAAATAATTTTATGGGTACAAATAAAGGTAACAAAAAAAAAATTAAAAAAAATACTAATTGAATAATAATTTTAATATTTTAATAATTTTTACATCGGACAGTGGTTCTTACGTAACAAACATCAACATTTTTGGAAGACTTTCTAGCCAACCTCCAAGTAGTGTCTTCTGAGTTCCACTAATAGGCTGGGTCAAACTCATGTAGGAATTCGATAAAATATATCGGAACCCAACTCATGCACTTGATCAAATATATCGGGACCCAACTCATGAACTCGATAAAATACGCCCGGACCTAATTCATGCTATTTTTGAAGTTAGGGACCCAACTCAAGGTTATCCAAAACTTTGGTTATACAAGGCAACGTTCCTTGGACTTTCCGTATTCACAACCCTTAATTAATGTAATTAAGTTTCAATTACCTACAACTTCGTATTAAATTACTATTAATATTAAATGTTCTGATGATAGTCTATAACTTTCTCTATTTATGTGTTTTAAAACAAACGAAGTAGTAGGAGGTAAGTACAAACACTTTAATTGAATACCAATTTAAAATTATCCCTTGCAATATTTAATGATATTTCACCTTCAAAATCACATGAATAATGATGGCATGATGTGGGTGATCGTCTGCAGTTACCAAACATGATTAGTTGTTAACTGTGTCCATTTAAGTTTGTTCCCGGGTGAGTGTTCACTTGTAGATTTACGCATCAACCTGTCCATAATAACTCTTTGACATATCGTAACATCGTGCCATCAAAATGATTTATATCTTGAACAGTTGATCCTATAAAATGCAATGCCAAAAGTTTAGTGTAACATGTATAATGCATATATTGTATACATTAAATGATTAACTCAAAATACTCAATTGTTTATTAGGTGCATTATTATCAAAACTCGATTAATTTTAAAATTATTTTTTTATTTAGCTATGGACCCCTCAAAACGTGATAATATTCAACTTAGCGACATCCGACTTAGCCGTATCTGTACTGGGAAACCCAGTTACCTTGGCCGCTGCTATCACCAAAGGCTGGATTTTCGGTCAAACCATATGTGTTATCTATGGGTTTTTTATGGCATTATTTGGTAATTATTAATTATCAACGCATTTTTTTTAGTAATTACACCGATATTAATACTTGGTTTGCACAAATGTCAATAGAATACACATTAAATGCATACTTACAACACAAACAATTTTCGATTTGAAAATCGTTCCTAAAATGACAAATAGTATATAATATAAAATATTAATATTAAATAGTATTAAATTAATCGTTAAATTGTACGTAGCTATGAAGAATAAAAATTATTGTTTCTTTCAATGGAAATTATATTCAATGCTCAATATAGGTTTGTGTGTTATATTCATATTTCAAAAATTTCAAAAACTGTTTTGCAAACATGGTCCCACGATTTTTTTCCGATCTATCCCAAATAAGTATCTTTATGTTGCAAATAAATTTCATACAATCTGCAATACTGCCACTATTAAATTTTTCTTTTTACTCTTTACTTTATGTGTGCACAATGCACATATTACATATTTCTTGAAGATAAAAGGAATATGCGTAATTTACGAAGTTCCTTATCTTTACGGGTATGAGAGTACCAAATAGATGAGTTGGGTAAAGAATTTCAAATAAAATATGAACTACAACACTTTTATGTGAAAGAACACCTACGCTAAAAGACTAATATAATATATTAAATATTAGGCTAAATATGTATTATATACTATCGTATATTATAGCTGAGGAATACTATATAACCTTAACTATCTAGGTGTTTGTAATCTTTGTTCTAATACTTCAGATTATTAATATATCTGTCGGGCGTGATGTTGCTTTTCTTAATTCCTGCCCTAATAATTTTAAATAGTATACAAACTATAGGTCTTATTGACGACATAATTTCTGGTCCTTGATAATGCTGCTAAACTTTAATAAAATAAGTTCATAATACATAATTATTAACTGTGTAAGTCTACACAATGTGTTTAACTAACGATTCAATTAATTAATTAATTACCTATCACCGAGTTGAGTAACACTAAACGACTGACGATAGTGCCCAACACCACACGCTTTCTTTGCAGTATAATCTTCTAGCAGTTTACTACTGTGTTCCAACGATAACACCTAAATAATTGTTAAGTTGTTAACACTACACTGTTGCAGCTATAAGTTTATCATATCATTAAAACTAGAGACTTCAATCGGCCATTTGCAATAACCTCGAGGCATTAGAGCACTCATAATTCGGTTAAGTCAGTTAAGAGTCAGAATAAATATATTCGTTTTAAATACTGTGCCATTTTGAAGTGGAATTGGATAATAATATTAATGATTATTTGTCATAGGTAAATTATTTACGACGGTACATCTCTCCATAACTTATTTCAACATTTTCGAAATACCATCGAAAAATAGTTTGCACTTACTGAACACATCAAATGCAATAAATTTAACTCTGCAAAGCTTTACAAGACGTTCAAATGGAAAAAAGTTTTTTTTTTTAATGTACAAAACAAAGATAAAACATAAAAACATTTTAGTGTTTCTATAAAAAATTAAAAATATATCTATAAAAATAAATAAAAATATTTGATGATGATTATGTCACCGTAGTCTGTACTGTGTGCAGTGTGCACCCATACGAAGTAATTTGATTTTTATGCCCATCGTAACCGTAAGTGAGACATTTTTTTTCATAAACCACGTAATTCCATCATGCACTATTGAAAAACTTTCGGGCATGAAAATGCCAAAACAATGAGAAACAATGAAGAGAAAAATGTTTCGGTCTTTGGACAACTCGGAGGTTTTGATGTATTGTTGGCGTAAGACGTCATAGTGTCACACGATGTCAGTTCACTTTTATCATACCGTTCTTACAAATAGAAATTTCAATAAATAAAATAATACACCTCACGTGAATGAATGCTGTAAGATGTGTTTATTTTTCATAAGTACGATATGAACTCGATTTGGTTTGTAAACCAAAGGTACATCAGTAAGTGCACATTAAAGAATAAACTTCGCACAAATTTGGCAGGTGTGATTGCATAGGAAATTCACACGGAAGTATACTGTTGTTTCAACCCAAATGTTGTTGTCTAGTACCTACTCTAATACTTACATAAACGCACAGTATATACGTATATATAGTGCTCCGTTATAACGAAGGAAATCTCCAGTTACGCCAATACTATACTCTTCCCCAAACTTGAGTGTTTGTAAATAATTGACTATTAGTACTATATTATTTATACAGGAAACTATTTTTTGTTTACTTCAGCACATGACTCAATAAAATCAATAATATAGCGGGTGTCAATTAAAAATACAATGTTCAATAGTATACACTCGCCCAATATACGTGATTCAAATTATACTGGTCAATTTGTTCCAAAATCTCAAAACATGTTTTAAATATTTCTCTCAGTGAATCCAATTTTTGTTTTTCCAGAATATGTTGAAAAATACTGAGAACTTTAATTTTGACCAGTCAAAAGTATCAACTTGATCCAATTTTCTATCAAAATCTACACTAAAATTTAAAGATTGAAGCATTCTTTCTACTATACGTATCCTGTATAAACACATAAAAAACACACACTATTGTAAAATCAATACATTCGTCGCTACTCTAAAAATCTAAAAATATTTTGAAATATTCTAAAATTATTAAACAATAACAAAAAAATATTTGAGTAAATCCATAACTTATATGAGTAGCCTATATAATGTATATTATACATAACCACTAGGTACATAATCTCTTAAATTAATCAAAAAACAGTATTAAAAAATATATATACATTTAATGTCTACTTTTAGATCTGTTAAAAAAAATTGTCACAGTATTAGAAAATCATTAATAATATTAACAAAATAATGATTTATGCGTTTCAATAATATTAAGTACCTACCTATCTGCATGTTTTATTAAGATACCTAATTATTATTTTTATTTTGTGTGTATAATATTTCCCTCTAGTTATGACTAGTTAATTTTGTTGTCGGTGGATTTTAAAAGTCCACATATTATTGAATTATGTACTTAGTCCTAAAATCGTTAAATGGGGGCCTGCATAGCAACAATCAACAAGCTGTACCTACGTGATTTACAGCATTGACCTAACAATATTTTCTTTAAGTTTTAGTTGAGAATTAAATTTCTTAGCTTTTCACTCTTCTCTGAATTTTCTTTATGCGGTTCACTTAATTAAATTTAAAGTTATTGTGTAGCAAATATTATGTATTATTTATATTCATCGGAATATGAACTTTTATTGCGTATGTTGTTTGTAGTACATGGGTAAATATTTTATTTTTATGAAATTGTCAACTAAAACTGAATACGTACTTAGTATAAATAATGATTTCTTTATGTAAATGTTTTAAAACTTCTAATAAAATGAAAACAAATTGGTTATTTATCACAAATTGGACTGACATAAAAATGTAATACGGATCTCTTAAAATCCCAATTTCTTGAACTAAATGTTATTAATGTTTTTAGCGTTGTTATTGCAGATTGTATTGACATATACGTTAATTAAATGTGACTTGATTTAATTAACGTTTATATATAGAAGAAGATTTTACTGCCAAACAAAAATCTAATTAAAATAATTAAATGAATAATATAAAGAGTGGAACCCTAGAATAAATTTACCTTAAACTTATAATTTTCGTTTGATCTTAACTAGTTTATTTGTTACTTTTAAAGTATAGGCATTAAAAATATTATAATTATTTATCTTTTTTTAGTCTATATTCATGTTTAATATTATAATTATTACAAACAGTATATACGTTTTAAATTGCATGCACTGCAAAAAGAGGAAAACTACCAAAACCTTTACTAAAAACAATAATAATTGATCGATATTAATGTTTTCATAAATAATAGTGAAACGAAATATCATTCGCTAAAAACTATAGTTAAATCAATGAATAATAGAATCAATAAACTAAGAATTAAGAAATCCACTCACCTCACAAACTGCCGGGTTTACTTATTATTTCACATTTTTTTTTTCATCAGGAATAGCGTCAATTACGACCTTGACAGTGTTGGCATACGATCGGTATTTAATGATACGGTATCCGTTCAGCAGCACCAGATTGACCAAGGAAACTGCAATATACGCAATAGCTGGAATATGGATATATGCGTTTGCTGTAACAGGACCTCCGTTGTTCGGGTGGAATCGTTACGTCAACGAATCTGCAAACATCAGGTAATACTGAATCTGACAATGACATAACTCGTGACAAAAAAAATATTTACAGAAAACCGAAGATGATTGCCCCCGGAGGGCTTTAACCCATTAAATCCTAATCTCAATGGTATTAATCTATGCTTGTATATTATTGCAACAGGTTACAGGAAAAAGTAACGAAATTAACGACATATCTGAGTTTCATTTTTTTCAGACAAGTTCGTAAAAATACAATAGTGTTCAAATAAGTTCACATTTTTAGGGATCCTAATTTCTATTCACTTCTCGACAACGAATTTTCGATCGGCAAGAAACAACGTTTCTAAAATATTTTACTTTTATAAAATATAATATAGTAAACAGTAAGTGCTGTGGTATGAAATTGGCGGGTGGCAATTGGTCACGAAATCATATTATTTATTAACCTAGAGAAATTTATTTAGAACAATATTTCAACACATTCAAGTATATCTTTTCAAAAGTCAGTTTAAATTCGGATTTTTTACGTATTGCAAATAAAATAGTACACCACAATATTATCGTTAAGGAGTATCAAAAATCATACTATAAGTACATTCCATGTAATATACTCAATAGTATTATTCTTAAATCAGTTTTAGTCACGTAATGTATAAGCATTTTTACTATTATCGTCTATTTTCATCATTGTGCTTATAAAATATGAAATATGAAATATTATCTTATAAATTAACAGTGTAGCTTAGGTATATTATAATTTATATTAAACACGGGGTAATTTTTAACATCTAACACTCGTTATCTATAAAAGTATAAGTCTTAAAAAAATTATTCATTTTTATTTCATGAAACTAAAAAATATGTACGGTGTAATTTAAAAAAGTGAAAACCTAAGAACAATTGTTTATAAAACATTTTGATTTTTAAAACTATAAATTATCTATAAAAATGTTTTGATTTGTGTTAGTAATTTTTACGATAGACAATGATTGTAAAATTGTTAATCAAGCAGTCTAGTTTGTCACTTTTCGGTTTAGTAAAGTTAAACAATATTTTCTAGTTGTTCAATCGACTGGGAGAGTGGTGAGCATAGCAATTATGTTATATACATATTTGTTTTTGGACTATTTCTACCAGTTACAGTGATTATCTATTCGTATGTGAGCCTCGTCGTTACAGTAAGAAAGGTAAAATGTAAAGATTTTTTTTATGAAAATTATATATTTAAATATTATATGATATTATAGTCGTAATTATAAATATATAGGTAGTTTGAATTTTTTCCTAGTTATTAATTTTATAAGCAAACTTAATTTTCCCTATCTAAAATAATATTATACACAACGTCATAAATCATAATATTATTTTATTATATTGTATAAAATACCGGGAAACAGACCTATGACAGCAATGCAGCTAAATAATCTACCCAGAACGCCGTGTGATCATAATAACTATTAACTACTTTATTTACTACTAAATCTATAATATACTCTTAATACTAACAATCTCATTAGTAATGAACTCGTGTACGATGAAATACCAAGAATATAATTAAATTATTAACTCATAAATTTAATCACGGATACTAAAAAAGAATGGTCATGTAAAAAGCGTGCCCCGAGTTGAGTCGGTTATCGAATCGTGGTATATTAAACGTTACGGATATAATTATGAGAGGAAAAAATATAACCATACATACAATAAATTTATGTATACAAATAAACCTTCCTGATAAGTTGTTTATAATTTCAGAACTACCAATATTATAGGTATTGGGGTCTAGTTCTACAGTACCATAGTGCCAGGATTTATTTCCCTGGGAGGGACGGGACTTCAATAAAATAAAAAAATTAATGTCATCACGAAGGATTATTTCACTGGTACAAAAATGATCGTCTGACGTTTCGGGAGGGACTTGATCCCCTTAGGCCCTACTAGATACAACTATTACGTGTACCTAATACACACCAGTATCTATGTATAGGTATAATAAGCATATATATTTTAGTAATAAGTATAGTTTACAGTTACGATTGACATGGCGTTCAAAGTTAATTAAACATGGGAGAAAGTACTTCATGACGTGGTAAAAGTGATTGTTGAATGAACAACAATTTTACAGCTCTTGACGATGAACTGTATTGCAATCGGAACACAAATTATATACGAGTACTGAATTATGCACTTCTATTGATCATTATAATAATTATGCCTTAAAAGTAAAAAATATATGTTTACTGTAATTTCCTTTGAATTATTTCCTCTCAATTACTGAATAACTGAACTATATCATAATACTATAGCATATACGAAATAAAAAAAAAAACCGAAATTGATGCAGCCTCAATTATTTTTTGGCATACCATATACCTAACTATGTATACAGATATCAAATGCTGAAATACCTACTGGGTACGATCAATTTGAATAGGTAAACGTCAATCAATCGATCGAATAAAATCTGATTTTAAAATAACATTTTGAAGGTGGTGCTTCGTTATAAATTCAAATGTCATCATGCACACTTCTTTCGGCCTCGTCGATATATATACATACAATGTAATATTATAGAAAATTTTTTTTAAAAAAACCTGAAATTGTTCTTAAAAAACTCCCTGCGTGTTATCAGCGTGACAATAACATCACAATATTTCACGTTCAACAGAGAGCTGCTGAAAAAATCATCGGACAAGCGACCAAAGCAGAATGCAGGGTAGCCATTATGGTGGCCGTGATGATATTGGCGTTTTTAACTGCGTGGATGCCGTACTCAGTGCTAGCTCTGATGATTGCATTTGGCGGCGTTCATATCAGTCCGGTCGTCAGCATAATACCGGCTTTGTGCGCCAAGTCGAGCATATGCTGGAATCCAATTATATACATTGGACTCAATACGCAGGTAAGCTACGTCAACCTATACCGATATTATTATTGTTGAATGAGAACATAATATTTTGTTTTGAATTTAAAAGATATAACCGGAAAACGGAACAAAATACCCTCGGTAAAAAATATCCGAGAAAAAGCATACCCGGTTGATGACAATGATGATGATGATAATAATAATAATAATAATGATAATAATAATAGTAATAATAAAAATAGTTAATACTCTAAACTGTAGAGTCTAAAGGACCGATGAGCCAAGGAAATATTGTGAAGAGAATAATCACGTTAGTGACGTTTCCCAATTTCACACATAGGTAAACACGAAATCATAATTCATAGCTGGCGGTAATTTCTCAATTGTCCCAACTCAATAATCGTTAATCACTAATCAACAATGTGTAAAGCATGTAGCATGTTGCATGTAGTTGGAAATAAATGGGGGGGGGTATATGTACTAGGTATAGTGTGGTTATGTCAACGATTAATAATATGTACCTATAAAATGTGTATATTTTTATTTTTTTTCTATTGAGTTAATGCTTCAACATCTGAGGTCATTAGCCAGGGTTATTTAGTGTATTTATTACTGTGAGGGAGAGTACAATTGGTTAGAACACGTGTATGTGTAGAGAAGATTTGTCACTAAAAACCTGGGTGGTCACCCATCTGAGAACTAAGAACACAGGCGGATGCTTGACTTCAGAACATGTTAATGACTGAAGCCAACCATCACCGCACCATTCCACGCCACATATTTATTTTTATTTATTTTCCAATATATTTGTTTTTGTTTATAATACAAATACAAACTTTAGATATTTAATAATTAATTATTGATCGTATGGCGAGATTATATTTAAATTTTGTAATAATTTTATATTTTTAACTAGTTATTTTTTTTTACAAATCACAAGCTGAGGTATTATTTTTTTTGTATTTTCAACCGAATTCACATTATTATACCTAGAAAAGTATACTGGGCTATAATAATTATACTTAATTATAGCACAATGTATTATTACCTACGAATAAAATATATAATTTCTGCTGACCGACGTGACGTTCTGTTATTAGTAATTTACAATTGCAGGTTATTGTTGTCAATATTATTAATTATTATACAATAGTTAACAATAACTAACAATATTATGTTATTTCATTATTTTTGCTAATCGATGAAACGTTGAATAAGATCTAACAGCAAATATACTATATGAAACATCGGATTAGTCACTGTAGTCTGAATAAATAACATTTTAAGTACACGTCTTAATATATATTAATAACCAAAGTAGCATAGACTAAAATTTACTCAATACACAAATAAAAATATATATTTTTGATAACGAGAAATTGGAAGTAAGACGTGAGAATGTCAAATACATAGTCTATTTAAGTACCTATATACTGGTATATATACCTCCCCTATTTCACTATATCGTTGATGCGTAGAATTTATATTTAGTTTAGGTTATGTTACTTAGCCGTATAGGTACATATAGAAACTTTAATTCATTAATATTAATTATACCATTAATTTCATTTCGATGATAAAAATGGTTATTGGTATACTTAATAACTTACTATATTTTAGTAAACGACAGTGCATATAGTGCACGAAGTCAACAAGCTCCTGTCCTATTTATAACTTAAATAAAAGATTTTATTAATAACAGAACTGTTATCTTTTAATTAACTATTTAATATTAGTTATTAATATTTAGCACATCCAGAATCTCGTTGATTGTAATTTGTAATATCGCGATGTATAATATAACGAATATAACTATTTTGATACACGGATGCAATAAAGCACATTTACCAAGCTACACTAATTACTAAATTAGTAATTAGATTTTATTATTCATTTTATATGTGGCTAGATATATAGTACATTTTAGTTTATATAAAAATACGGTTTTTAGCCTTTGACAGTATAATATAAATTGTAATAATTTCAAATTATGAATATAATCAATGTATTCTAAGACTGACATTATAATGACATGTATACTGATTTAGTAACATTTATATTATAAAATATTATTTTATTTGTAAATTATTTATCCCTAAAAGTTTAATATTTAATAAAATAATCTTAAAGTGGCTTGGCGTTACCCGGTTGCTGCAATCAGTCACGTAACGTGATTGAGAGTACTCGACCGTCCATTGCCACTAGTTCGTGGATGAGTGACCACCTGGGTTCTTAGTGACAAAAACCTTGCCACACATACCGGACATACACGAGTTTCCAACAACCATACCGTAACTTCTTAAAATAGCTAATATAGCACCCAATAAAAAAAAATGTACAGTATATATATTATTAACAGTAATAGATGAAAATGACGCTATGCTATCACCATAACATAATTTTGCTGGTATAAAAAATGTCCATAATATCATCCATACGTGCTTATGAGCAAATTCAATCGAGCCAAATGGTCTATGCTATCCCTTCTTATATTTTAAACTCGTACAACGATAACAATACAGATCCTAAAGAAAAACATATTGTGTCAATGACCAAATTGTATACAAGAATACATTTTCAAAGACATTGAACGATGTAAACAAAATATAAATATCTATTTTGTTAACTAAGAAGGAAACGTTTTTTACTTATGTTTCGTATTGTTCTATAATATTTAGTTGAAATAATATTATTCCATATACGTGCGTTAACAAATATATATTTTTATTTACTATACACATAATTATATAAATATACCTATTATATTATAAGGTACCTATATAATTTTACATAGGTATGATTTGAACATGGTTGAAATAAAACAACTTACAAGTACCTTGACTTGTATTTTACAGGACTTGGTGGGACAATGCTATATGACATCGACCTTACAAGAACACAAAAACACTCCTTGCCACCCTCCCCTAATTTTTAGTGATCATTTCACAAGAATTCAATTATATATTCCTATTAAAAGGTAAATAATTTTACTAACGTTATCATCTACGTTATCAAAATTATATTTGAATAAATTGCAATCATAATTATTTTGATCAAATTTTTTAATTATTCGTATTTTTCAAAATATAATATAATATAATATAATATAAAAATAAAAATATATACATACACGCTGTAGTTGTCACATTCATATGGACGATCCCGAACAACGAGATTTCTCTTCTAAATAATAATTGTCAACCATGATTCACTTCACGCGTCTGGACATAATATAACAGCACTCGTTAGAGCATAACATTCCTTTGTAATTTCTATGTAGACCGATGTCTATTAAGTGTATAGAACACCACACCCTATCCTGTGCGTGATATACAAGTCAGTAGTCATATTATAAGACATTTTCTCTACAGAAAAATATGACGTTGACGCCATATCTTTAGAAATAAAAAACGTAATACAACACATCATTATATACGTATACTATATGTGTAAGGTGTATATCACGCTCCACCTCAACCACCACTGAAAACATTCACCATTGACAGTTTACTTTAATTTCAGCCACTGCTGCAGGATCCGAAATATTATTGATCGTACCTACCTATATAATATAGGAATATGCTTATTAGGTAATAGGTGAAATGTACATACATAATTGTTATACATAGTAGGTATGTGTAGTTAGTTCATATGAATAACATATTTAATGTAATGAATATTTATTAAATATGATTTTTCTGACATTTATAAGCGTATAACTACTATAACTTTAAGTATTAAACAAAACAATTTATATTCGTGTTTTTGGGACAAACTTTAAAATCTGAGATAACAAGTAAAAGGCAAAGTGCTAAATTATGTAAAAAAGTTCGAAAAGGTAGGAATTTACTTGATGGAAATTAATATTACTGTCACATTTTGTTGGTGTTAAAGTTCAGTTTGCGGGAAGTGGGTGGAGGAGAAACAAAATGAGACCATATGGCCCGTTAGAGATGCTAGAACCTTTATTAAATTTTTGTTGTTCTGATATTGACCGTCACATTATTCTTAAATCCAAAAAATTATTTATGTAAGAAAATATTTTTTAGAGTAAAAGTTTTCAAAAATAAATTTTCTTAAGTCGGTACTCTGGGGAAAATAATAAAATATCCAATAAAGGGCAATAAACTGTGGTAAACCATATTGTAAGCATATATATAGTAATTTGTGCAGAAACTATTAGGTAATTATTGATAAGGCACGTCACCAAAAGTAAGAAATAAATGTTTGAACGAAATTCGGGTACTTTTGGTTTATATAAAAATATATATTGGATTTTATCTCGGGTTTATTACTGTTGTACCGTTTTAAAACGGTGCGATATTCTAATATACGGTTATTGATTTAATTTTATTCCACAGTTCCGGTCAGCGTGGAAGCGGTTCCTAAACATCCCGGGCCCGTTGTCGGAAGTCTCACTGGACGCCGACATCACCACGGGCATGACCAAGCTGATGACTGGTCACCAAGAGCTGCCGTCCCACCCCATGAACAACGGCGGCGCCAACCATCCACCCGGTCTGATAATGTGCTGCTTGGCACACGACGAACACCGACGGTCCGCGACGTACGCCGACCAGTACCAGTGCAATCTCGAAATGAAGTCGTGTAACCCGCAAACCCTAGGCAAACGACCCGAAACGGATATCGGCGACGTTTCTTTGTGAACATAAAAATAGTATAATATATCAAAATACCACGAAAACCGTCGAAACGAAAAAAAAGTCACATTCTATAAGTTGGCTTTGAATTGGTAATAATATTATTTTCTTTTTGGACATTGTTGATGCCTGTAGTTAATTCCAATATACGAACAAAAATTCAATTTAAAAACGGAACAATACATTATTATTACATCGTACTGGACGGCTTGTCCCTCTATTAAATTATTCTATAATGTAGTTGATAGTTGCAAATACGCATTGACGTCATTCTACTAAGGTACTAGTGGTGAATATAGGGGTTATATTATAGGTATACAGATTATAAGCTCCCGGCAACAGGCACCTTGAAAAAAGGAATAATATTGGCCCATAGTGAAAATAATAAATTTCTATAAGCACCACTGATCAGTATAGGTACCTATCTAATATTGTAAGTTGTACCTAACACATTACTATGTTTGTTTTTGTTTTTAACACAATATATTATATCGTTATGACAGTGCCATGTTATTGTTATTGTTATTGTTATTATTTTAAATGGTTCCGGGTTCGAACACGCGATTTTAATATAGAGATAACAGGCCGTACCACACATTAATTTAGTCTGAATGCGTTTCGTTAATGTGCATTTCGATGTTGAAGATCGTAGAACTTTTTTCTTTAGAAAAAAAAATAGACTCAAAGTTTTCATTTCACGACACTACAATAATTTATATTTGAATACATTTAAACTCATAGCAGTCAAAACATTTATATTCATATATAGTTAATAACACAGTGATTCCATTGTAACGCTTCAATGATTTAATCGCAAAAATGTTATAACTGAAGATTAATATTAGGTATTATAATGCTCGTTCTGAAAGAAAATGTTTTTCAAGTTCTAACTGAAGATATATAGGTAATATTTTAGCTCTTGATCTCCTTGAATAATATTATACATGATAAATATCCATATAGGAACTATTATTATTATTATTATTATTATTATTCATTATCTACTTCATGCTTAATACCACTGAAATAATATAGACCCACCCAAATACCCAATTGATAATTAGGTACTTACTGAGCTGCCCAAATTAGTGAAATGATATAAAAAAAAATATATAAATGACGTCCCTCTATTTTATTGTTTCAAGTATTTAAAATAATGCATGTCAATCACGTGACACGAACTTTTTAGGTTCACTTTTGGCCACTGGGATAAATAAAAAAAAGACAAATGTTACTAAAATATTAGTAGATATTTTACTAATTTTATTTTATTTCATCCTTATGATGTCATGTCTTAAATCCAGTTAGGTTAGTAAGTAGCTTATATATAAGTATACTTACAGTTACAAGTTACGATACAGCACTGATTAAGTAGGTATCTCATATTTTTTAAGCAATATATAATATAATAACACAAATAAACAAAAATATCTATAATATCAAAATAGACAATGACTAGACGGTCAACTAATAATCTCCATTAAAAAGTATAATACTTTTAACAACTTTATTTCTAAACTCTAAATACCTAGCTATTATGTTACACAAAATAAAACGATGGTTAGTATAAAACTAAAAATGATTTTTTTTAAAGATTCTGATTGTTAATATGTTTCGTACTAGTGGAATTTGTACACAGTAACTTTTGAAGTTTATTTTAAAAAAAAATAGTTATTAACTTGTACATATTTTATGAAAAATATGTGAGTAGTTATTCTAAAAAAGCTTTTTGAAAAGAAAAAAAATATATTGATTATGGTAATGATTAACTAAAACAATATTGACTTAGATATTTAATTTACAACATGAATTTACATAATTTACTAAACGTTTTGCACAGATATATCACTTGAAGTTAGAATCAAAAAAAAAAAAATTATTACCATTGTAATTATTATATATATTAATATAGGATTTTATATAATTTTAAAAATAGGTAGGTAGGTACCCGAATGCGAACAGTTGTACCTATATATCATTTAACTGTAGGTACCTACTTACATATAATAATTTCAAAAGTTATTTTTTTTCAAATTTGTTTCAGTCGTTTTAGAAATTTCTACTACAATGTAGATGATTATATTTTGTTCAAAGTACCTAGGCATGTATTATGTATCAATATTTAACCATAAAAATAGAAACATTTATGGTCATAATATCTAATATACATAATATTATTATGTTAATTATATTATATTATTATTTATTTATAATTACACATATATATTGATTATTGAATGACACAAGATGATTATATTAAGATACCTATATATTTTTAAAGAAAATTACCTAGGTACTTGTGTCTTTGAATTTCAAAGTCTAGGTAGGTATGTTAAACTGTGAGTAGCCAAATTGGTTAACTACGTTTAAATTTCTGAGTATCCCACTACTGGTGGAGTTACCTAGTTCTCTGCACTTTTTAATCACATTTCCCTTCCCGATTTTACAGAATTAGATGGTAGGTACTATCTACTTTAAAGTAGTTGTCATGATTAAAAATGTGCAATTAGCGATCGTTGAAATGTAAGTGAACCAGTCATCGCTTAAGTAAATAAAATATATAATAATTTTACATTTTAAATTATTGAGCTGAACAGCTGATAGGTTAAGTTAAACTAACCTTGCAAATTTGAAGCAAACTTTCTTCAAATATTCTAATCGTAAAATTTTCTTATTAGTGTAGTCAGTTACACAATTTTCCAATTGTTGGTTGTTTTTTCTTGTTTGCTGTTAAATTTCCTTGTAGGTACTACCTACTACTGCGAAATTCAACATAATTAAATTTTTTAATACTGTTCAAATATAGTCTCCATAATCTAAACAAATAATAGTATGGTAAGTTCTTCATATGATTTCTTATTGCAAACAATTGCTTTAAAGTTAAAATTTAAACAATTTTACTTGAGTAGCAACGTGAACAAATTCAGCTCATCTGAATAAAATACCTTTTTAAACGGGAACCAATTCGGCATGTGTGGTAGGGCCTCGGAAACCAATTCGGTACCGGCCATTACGTAACTAGGTACCATACCAATAACTTATTTTAGTAAAATTGAAGTTTTATTAATATCATTAATATAGGTAGGTATAAATGTGTACAATGTATTTTTATGGTTTATTTGTAATTAATATTATTTACCTATTGAATTAAAACTAAAAATATTGTACTTTTCTTCGGACGATCGACTATTTATTAAAAACCTATAACTTCCTAAAGTACCTATATCGAATATCGATTGATGAATTAAAACTCATCAGAAAACTAGTTGGACATTTTATATATTCTCCGACTGAGAGAAATAATGTTTTAAATATAGGTACTTGTAACTATACCTACTTAATTTACTATTCATCCCCAGAGAATGAGAGAACCACCAACTGTATCTAGTGGTTGTGATATTAATAAATGCCAATATGACTATTAGTATGTACCTATATAGCTACCTAGCTACATATAATTGCTGGTATAAATAAAAATTGAAGCCACAAACAAAACCTTTTTTTTTTTTTTTACTATGTGGCCATGTAGATAGGTACTAGGTATAGAAACAAAATAATTGAGTTTGGGATTCCTCGAATCGGAAATATTTGTACTACAAAGGTACCTAGCAGGTTTTCGTCGTCAAAGAAAATGATAAATAATTTTATTTGAAAGTAAAACTGCAAAAAAAGTAAATTGGTTAGGTTAAAGGCTTTATACTTACACCTACCAATTTATTATTGTTTATATTATGTAATCTAAACGCACCTTGCGATGGATACCTATCTTCATTTATTTTTTATATGTTGTCCAATAAAGTCAAATTGTCGAGTAAGGTTGGTACTTACATTAAATTTTGAATAGGTAACTACTTTTAGTAAGTTTTATTCCTACAAAGATAATGGTGTAATGCTATAATCATATGATTGGCCTACAGATAGATCACTTCATTATACATTTTATACCCTTCGGGAATAACCACATTATATATATATATAATAATAGGTCGTAGGTAATAGACAATTTATTAAATATAACACCAATAACACATAATCCTTTAAATAGTTATCACTTATAACGTTCAAGAAATATCTACTTTTGTTATATACCCCCAGGGGGGTAACACTGCAACAAACTTTTTTTTCATTAACAATATTCTTGCTTGTCACTTATTTTTTAAATACCACAATTTTTCTATTCATAAATAATTACCTAGGCGGCTAGGCATAATACTTTTTTAAGTTATGAATAGGACTTTTAATCGTACGTTATTGCGTTAAGCAGGTAAGTTCTTATGAGCTTCAGTTAAACAAGACACTTCAAATTTGAATGATATTATAAGTACCCTATTAGGTAATTTATTATAATTTATAAGTAAAAATATGACATTTTTTTTTAAATTGAAATTGTCGATTTATCGATTTTAGAAATGAATTTTTCATTTTTTCACCAAGTTGTAGAGCACTCAAAATAGGTAGTCGGCATCGTCCAATGAAACTAAAAGAGTATTATTAATTATTTATCGATTTAAATTAGATTGGCACGGTGATAATATTATACACCTACCTACCTTTTTTTTTTTTTTTTCGTGTTTGAACCGACGGCGCCGCGGGAACTGCTTTCGCATTACTGCCGCGACTACACCTACCTACCTACGTCAGATATACCTAACCTAGTTGCATTATGTTTCTGTATACATGTAATAATTAATAAGTTATTAATATAAATATTATGTACCTATCTACTGTTAATGAGCGATACGTTTTTAAGACCTTATTTATTTATTTTTTTTTTTGGAAAAAACATGGTAGAAACCTAAGAATATGAAATTATGAAATTTAAGAAATGGAAAAAAATATTTTGATTTAACAAATTAACTACTGTGTATACCTATTTTAATGAAAAATAAATAATTATTTCCATATTTTATAGGTACCGTTACATGATATTTATTTTCTGCATTACTTATTGCCTACTACCTACCTATTACATTATTAGCGATGCTGTTTGTAAGTGTATCCTGTGAATATCAAGTTACTTAAGTACCTATCTTTAAGTGGATATTAATCCCAGATCCTAGGTGACATCTGTTCAAAATTGTATTTGAATGGGTAGTCAACTCACAGCATACCATTCGAAAAAATAAGGTACCCTATTAGTTATTTGTATAACATAGGAACCTATCTCTACACAACCTACTAAACTAAAAATTATTTAAGA